CCACGAGGTTGGAGAGGTTCTCAGGTGGATGTCGTGAGGTCTCGCCCATCAGGGTGAAGAGTGTCCCAGAATTTTGTCCATCAGCTTCTTCCGGGCTCAATAAATACACTGTTCTGTTCCTACACATTCTGATTGATTTTCGTAAATAAGACCGCAAACTATATCGAGTAATTCTCAGATCTTTTTTGTATCTTCTGCCAGACAACGCTATAGATGTTCAGGCTCATTTATTCATCCGCTAACTAGACGTCTCCACTTGGTGTTTCTGCGGGTTCCTAAAACTCAGCAGAATCGAAGCCTAAAACATCATATTTCCCATGAATGCAGCCCCCTTCCTGGTGTTCCCTGTCCACCACGCCGACCATTCCAGAATCTGGGAGGCACCGTCTGTAGTTGCACTCAGGCCTCTCATGCGTGACTCAGTCTTATGATTCAAACTCCTGACGTCTGTCTTATCTACGTGCTCCCCTCCGTGCCTCCCGTTCCTTAAGCGACCCTCACCTCACCTGCATTATCAAACTGGCCTTTGTATTGTTCTCTGCCTCAGGCCTTGCGCCACCTCCAATCTGTCTCCCACATGATTTTCACAGCAAACTTCTCAAGTGGCGTACCTGGCTTAAAACCTGCCGGTGGCTTTCTCTGTCTAGTGGACCAGGTCTGAGCCCTGAGTGAGGCAGGTGAGGCCTCTGGGATCGGTTCCCCGACCCCTCTTCATGCCAGTCACATACAGGCCTCCTGCAGGATTGGGCCCGGCCGTTACTGCATAGAAGGGACTACTGTCCTTTGCTAAGTTACCTAGTCCTTGCTGAGCTGGTGAACTTGTGTGACGGCGTGGAGGACACACGCCGCAGACCCTCTGCTGATCTGCCACTTCCCTCACGTGCACCGAGGATCCTGAACACACGGGCAGAGGCTACTGCTTATGAGTGAGTGAGTCAGGGGGGGACAAGCCGTGTCTGCTTCACGTCGAGGGAGGTCTCAGATGATTACTTTCTTTTCAGCGTCCTGCCGGAGCGTCGGCCTGTGTCTGGTCAGCTCTTGCGTGGCTATCTCAGTAGCTTCTGACACAGCGACTCTCATCCTCTCAACCCCCTTTAAAAGGGCGAATGTGGGGCCGGCCCGTGGCTCACTCGGGGGGAGCCGGTGCTGAGGACGCCAAGTCAGGGGCCGAGACCCACTTACCGGTCCTCTCTAAAATAAATAAAGAAAACGGTGAAGGTTACGATGGGTCCGTGATATCTCAATAAAGCTGTTATTTTAAAAGGAGAAGGTGCGGGAAAAGGAAGGGGGGTGGGGAAAAAGAAAAAGAAAAGGGGCCGGTGCGGTAGCAGATCCAGTTCCCGTTCTATCCACTTTTATTCTGTCCCCTTCCCTGGACGCCCCCACCCACGTGGCACCCCGAGCTGAAGTTCCGGCCCACGGGTGGGGGCGTGGCCACGACTCGCTCTGGCCAATGGGATGATGGCAGAGGCGGTGGGCGGGACACGCTCCGATGGGGCTCGGCCTCCTGCAGGGCGGTGCTGTGAGCGGAGCTCGGCCTCTGCGGGCTCCCGGTCCCTTAGAACAGAACCCCTGCAACGGGGGAAAGTGTAAAGAAATGACGTTCACTTCTCACCATTTCGGAGGCCGGGAAGTCCGCAGTCCAGGGTGCGCATCTGGTCAGGGCCTTCCCTCTTCTGGGAGGGGGCTCTGTAGGAGGCCCAGGGACCACCGTGGTGTCATGGAGAGGACGACCCGAGCAAGAGCTCACCTGCTCACCTGCTCCCCTCACAGAGCCATCAGGAGTGCTCCCTGATACCCCACTAAGCTGTCAACACATTATTCCATGAACGGATCAATTCATTCACAAGGGCACAGTCCTCACGATCCAATCCCCTCTTGAAGGTCCCACATAAAACACCATAATCAGATTTCCTATCCTCTTAACACTGTTACAGTGGGGGTCAAGCGTCAATAAATTTGGGGGCATGGGTTGGCCGGTTAGCTCAGTTGGTCAGCGTGCAGTGCCATAACGTCAAGGTCAAGGGTTCGGATCCCCTACCAGCCAGCTGCAAAAAATAAATAAATAAACAATTTGGGGGAGTGTTCAATCCACAGCAATGATATACACATACAATTAATTAAATTATATTGAAAACAAAGATCATCAATACTGAAAACTCACTATTGCTATTTATTTTTCTATTTTTTCCATCTTTTCCTGGTGTTATCTATTACAATTTCTATGCACTTCAGGTTGTTTATGTCTATTGTACGTGCAGGGTGGAGATAATATATAAAAGCCATCTCTTTCCAACTCTGCACATACAGATGACTCAATGGTCTTGAAATCAGCCACAGTGGGAGTATTTACACGACAGATATTGGCAGAGGTGACAAATATGTGTCCCCACTCCAAGAGCCTATTAAATGTTTACCAGCACACCCTTCGTGGTCCTTGTTTCTCTATGTGCCTGGAGCAAACCCAAAGGTTGGCACCAAGAACAGGTGAGCCAAGATGACCCACTCATGGCCAGCTGACCCACAGGCGAGAGTAGACAACCATGCTGTAAGCCACCGAGCTTGGGGGTTGTTTGTTACACAGTACTATTATAACTCCTGCTGACTAATACACCAGGTGGCCACCTCATTGGACTGAGAGTGCTTCAAAACTTTGAAGCCCAGTGCAGATGAGAGAATCTGTTAATGGTGACAGCGTTGGGTCCAAAGATAGCTTGGAGGGATAGAAAAGCTTGAGATATAGGTTCAACTCTGGAAATTGTGAGGTTTTGGTTAATGGACCCCACTTCTTTGAGCCTATGCTGTTAAGAGAGAATGGAATAGCCCTTATGTTTGCTTCTGTTTAACTTGTGGACAAAGACTTACAGGCTGGTACCCCCCAAAAAAGAAAGAACGAAAGAAAGAAAATCCTCTTTTGCAACCCAGAACTCATTGTTCAGTATGAGTTTTGATACTGATGAGTTTTGATACTGAGGCAACACATCATTCCATAAAATAGAACATGTTCTCCACGTGTCTAAATGATACGGTTTGATAAGTGTTGACTTCACCTACCCCCTGCAACTGTCAGCACAATCCATCACCCTCACCAGTGTACTCATGCCCCTCTGCGACTCTCCTTCCTTTGCTGTCTTCTGGCCCCAGGCAATCTTATCTGCTTTCCGTTGCTGTAGATCAGCTTGCAGTTTCTAGAGCAGAGATTCTCCCCCTCAGCACTACGGACATCAGGGCCAGGTCTTTCTCTGTGGTGGGGCATCCCGGGCACTGCGGGTGCTGACGATCGTGGCCTCCACACACTCCATGCCAGGAGTACCCCCCAGTCATGACAACCACAAATGTCCCCACACATGGCCCTGTGTCCCCCATGAGCAGAACCTCCCCAGGTGAGAATGACTGGATTAATCTTTAGTTCAGCCCCCTGGCAACCACCATTCTACGTTCTGTTTCTATGAATCTCTAGGGAAAGTCCTAGAGTCCTAGAGTCTAGTGCTCTTGTGAGTGGAATCACACAGGCTTTGTCCTTTTGTGTCTGGCTTATTTCACTAAGTATAATGTCCTCAAGGTTCAGCCACATGGTAGCATGTGTCAGGATTTCCTTCCTTTTCATGGCTGAGTAATGTTCCACTGTGTCACTGGGAATAACGCTGCTGTGATTGTGGGTGTACAAGTATCTGTTTAAGTGCCTCTATTTAATTATTTTGTGTGTATATACCCCAAACTGGAATTTCTGGGTCATATGGTAATTCTCTATCTAACTTTTTTGTCATTTTTGTTTTGTTTTGTTTCCTTTTCTTGGCAGTCGGCTGATCTGGGGACCCGAACCCTCAGCTTGGTGTTATCACACTGTGCTTTCACCCGCTGAGCCAACCGGCCTGCCTTCTGTGGTTAACCCTTTGAGGAACCGTCAAACTGTCTTCCCTCGCAGCTGCACCGCTTTGCAATCCCACCAGCAATGCACAAGGGTTCCGATTTCTTCTCATCCTCTCTACTCTTGCTATCTTTTTGGTTTTTTAAATAATACCATATTCATTTATTTACGTATTGGCAGCTGGCCAGTACAGAGATTCAGCCCGGGACCTTAGTGTTATCAGCACCACCCTCTGACCAACCGAGCTAACCAGCCACTTCCATCGTGGACTTTTATTCCACACTTGGCCCACCCTGGGTGTCAGGATGAAGGAGGAATGAGACGTAGTCCCTGCCCTGTCCCTGCTCAGAGCAGGGGGAGCAGGGAGCTCCCTCCCCACAAACCCTCTCCTCAGCCTGCCCCCGAGTGCCCTTCTCTGCCGCCCTCCCAGCCCCAGCTC